CTGAACGCCGGGGCAGAGTCGTGCTGGGATGAGGTCAGAGCCTCTGGTCTGATGGGATGGTGGGGTTTGTTTTTGTTTAATCCGCACCGTAGGATATGTTTTTATTGATTCTAGAGAGATGTGAGAGGGAAACATCTGTCCACGGCCGCTGCCCCCACTGCAGACGGAACCCACAACCTGGATGCGCGCCCCGGGGGATGGAACCCAGGACCCTCCAGCGCACGGCCGAGGGCTGCGGGCTCCAGCCCCAGGAGGCAGCCGACCCATCATCCGTGTTTCTCTCTCTCTCCCTTCCTCTCTCTAAAAATAAAAACATTTTTTTAAAAAGGTTATTTAAAACAAATAAATAATAAAAATTAAAAATTTTCTTGCTACCTTAAGATCTCGATATTATGGTTTAAATACCTTTATAATTGAGTTTCATGGTTTAAGTTTTAAGCACATAGCAGAATAAAAATCTTACAATTCAACAAAGAAAAAGACTCTCTTTTAGAGATACATGCTGAAATATTTATGAATGCTATGATAAAAAAATAATCCAGTGGGGGAATAGGTGAGAGCATAAATAAAATAAGGTTGGCCGAGAATTGATCATTTTTGAAGCTGAGTGGTGGTTTCATAACAAGGGCTTATTATATTATTCTCTTTACTTTTATATAGTCTGATGGGTTTCTATAGTAAATGTTAAAGAGATCTTCTCCTGAAGTTAAAGGTAAAGGTTATAATTTACATTTGAATAAAGCTTTGCATTTCATCAAACCCTTTCTACAGACACAATCCCTTTTGGTCCAGGAGGGGGACAGGTTAGGGTCTAGTCTCACTTTTTAGGAAGAAAGAAGACTATGACCAATGTCTACCATCTGCCAGGAAATTTAAAATCATTCCACTTCTAAAATTTTCTAGGTCTTTCAAATGCAGAGCCCAAAAGTTAAAAACCGCTGATTTTGAAGGGGGGAAGGCGCCACCAGCACCAGAGCTGCCAGCTACAGCCAGTTGGGGTGTATCCAAAAGGACTTACTGAAAGGGATAGATGCTTAGTATTTTTTAGGCATTCACGCACCTGAAGTCACAATCAGCACCCTTAAAGGAGGTGGCATTTATAGAAGCCAGCCCTGTTCTTGGTTGGGTATAGGTCCAGCATCAAGAATATCCTCAGCTGTGTGGTATGGAGCTCGTTAAGTGGATCTATCTCACTCTGACGGAACTTTTCAGATACCTCCAGCGGCATGCCTGGACCTCTTCACCTAAATACCCTACAAGCGCCTCAATTCCAACACACCCAGGAATTAGCTCAGTATTTCTCCAGCCCCCCACCCCAGCCATCTGCATCTCCTTCTGTTTCCTCAGCTCTCCACATGGCCCACCCCACCCATGCTGGAAACCTAGCAGTCCTGGGAGATGGTTTGTTCACCCCAACCCAATCGGTCTTTGCTCCTCTCAGTTCCCTCTCATTGTCTCCACTCTCAATGCCCTGACCATCACATGTCAAGTCTCCTCACCTGGACTACACCACCCAACGGCCTTCCTGCCCTGCCTCCAGTCTCACCCTGCACTCCACACAGTTTCATGATCCAGCTAAAAGCTGTGCCTTTAGATACTTTCACAGGATACAGCAGAACGAACTCCACAACTGGGATCTGAGCTTTGCCTCCTGTATTGGTGATCTATTGCTGAGACGTATTGTAAAATGCTGTGACTTAACAATAAACACTCATCACTTCACGGTGTCTGTGGGTCAGAAATTAAGAAATGGTGTAGCTGGATGGTTCTGGCTCAGGGTTTCCAATGAGGTTTTCGTCCAGATGTCATCCAGGGCTGCAGTCAAATGAGGGCCTAAGGCTGGAGAATTTGCTTCCCAGGTGGCTCCCTGACGTGGCTGGAAGTTGGTGCTGGCTTTTGGCAAAAGCCCCAGTTTCACACAACATAGATCTCTTCATAGGGTTGCTTGAGTGTCATGACACTATGGCCAGCTTCCTTCAGAGTGAATGTTCAAGAGAGAACACGATGGATTCCATGTCCTTTATGACCTGGTCTCAGAAGTCATACTTCTACAGCATCCTGTTGGTCACACGGGCTACCTGTGATGCACTGCGAGAGGAACTACACAGCAGGAATACCAGAACTGAGGATCACTGGGGCCACCACACCTCTCCCTCAAACTTGACATTATCACTCACTCTTTATGGACCACCAGCACAGCACGATTTCCAGTTCCCAGAACACACAAGGCTGTGTCCTGTGTCTCCCACCCTTGTGTTCTTCATGATTGCAAGATCTTTTCCTCTCTCGTATTTGCCTGATGATTTTCCCCCAGCTTTATTGAGGTATAATTGGAAAAAAATATATATTTTTAAGGTCTACAACATGATGTTTTGATATACATAACATATACATTGTGAAATGATTTTCACAAGCTAATTAACATATATCTCCTCACACAGTTACCATTTTGTGTGTGTGTGGTGAGAACACTTAAGATTTATTTTCTTAGCAAATTTCAGATATACAGTAAGACAGTGTTATTAACTATAGTGACCATGCTGTACATTAGATCTCCAGAACATATGCATCCTACATAACTGTAGCTTCGTACCCTTTGGCCAGCATCTCCCCATTTCCCCTACAGTCTTAACTCCTGGCAACCACCATTCTACTGTTTTTATAAGTTTGACTTTTTCAGGTTCTACACATATGTGATATTATGCAGTATTTGTCTTTCTGTCGCTCCCTTATTTCACATAGCATAACAATCTCCAGGTTCGTTCATGTTGTCACAAATGGCAGGATTTTTTCTTTTCTGAGGCTGGATAATAATCCGTTGCGTATCTATGTAAATGTGTCACATTTCATTACGCATTCATCTGTCAACACGCTTAGGTTGTTGCCATTGCCTGGTGAATTCTTATTATTCAAAATCATGTGAACTCAATACATGTTGAGCTAAATCCAAGGAAGCATTAGAGCACATCTGCAGGAGAGATGGTCTTGGTGGGCTCCGTGTTGCTATGAGGCATCGCCTGGAAACACGCCGAAAGCCAGGAAAGAGAGCTCATGGTTTCCCTGAGCCATTTTGACAAAGGGTATCCATATTTTTCCCGAGAAGCCAGAGAATCTTTTAATTAGAACTTTCCCCCAAATTTGTAAAAATCAATGCCAAAAAGTACGAGGCCCAAGGATTTGATAAAAGGTGTTAAGAGAAGGAATAGAGAGAGTGATGTCTTGAGAAGGTTAGCCCATTGCCAAAATAGTGAGCAATAAACAGCCCAAACCCCCAGAGTAGCACAGGGCAATAAGCACCTGCTCGTGGCTCAGAGTTTACAGAATGCCTGGAGCGGCTTTGCCTCACTCGGGCTGGGGTGACTGTGGGTGGGCCGGGCCAGCTCTGCCCCGCAGCTCTCGCCTCCCCCTCTGATGGGCAGACTAGCTGGTGCGGGAAGAGGCACAAGAGAACATAAGCAACTGCACCTGCGAGTGTCCTGCTCCTGAGTGATCACTCAGCTAAAACAAGTTCGTGGCCAAACTCAGAGTCAAGGGGTAGGGAAGTGTACTCTCTGGGGGTGGGAAGAGCTAGGAAGTTACAAGGGAGGAGTCAGGGGTCCAGAGAGGGGTGAATTGGGACCAAAAATTCAATCTTTCAGATCAGGCCGAAGCCACAATATTTTGGAAAGAAAACAGTTTCTAGCTGTTGAAAGATTGTCTATTAAAAGAACCCTACACATCTGCTTTGAAACTATCCCTGTTGGAGTCAAGCTCTCAATTCTGCATACATGTCAATGACTCTGGTGCTCCTCGTGAATATTTATGAGTATGTTATTTTATAATCTGTACTTGTCGGACCAAATTTCTGAACTTCCTTCTGTAGTTATGGAGGAACAGAGTGTCCTAAGGGTAGTGGTGATGTCGCCTTCTCCGGGGTCACACAGGCAGGTTAGTGGAGTGGGAAGGTCATTGTGTGCAGAGGGCCGAGGCCTGAGACCACTCACTGCCTTTTCACTGCTGCTCTTTGTGGCCCTCGTAGCTCTCAGCTGACTGTCAGTGATCTTTAATCAAGTGCTAGCTGAAAATGGCTGAAGGGATGTGTACTTTTGGGGTGTGTTTGCATTGTAGTGGTAGAATCTTAGAAGCCTAAAGATCCTTCAGAGAAGAATCTCCAATGATGGGAGATCAGGTGGCCTGACCATAAAATTAAGAATAATTTCTCCTCCAAAGCTGAGGATATCTTAAAGCATTTCCCATATTTCAGCGAACCCCATAGGCAATGTCACGTGATTCAACCTATTACATTACCTTATTCTTTACAGTAGTCTTCAGACAGAGGCAGGAAGCTGAGACTCAGAGACAATGACTTGCCCTGGGTCACACAGTAAGTGGCAAGAGTGGGTCTAAAATCCACGCCATTTGATATTAAGTTCAATTCTTTTTCCCTTACATAGGCTGTGTCAGATCATTTAAAAACATTCTTTCACGCACACACGCGCGCACACACACACACACTTCTCTTTGCCTTTTTTCTTTTTCGCTCCTGATCCCACCCCCTTCTGACACAGTAGTTAGCAATCCCATCATCCTGAAAGAGGAGTGGGTATGTTTTCCCCTTGAGCTACTGTTTAATTTGTCAGCCTCCTTTATCTCGGGCCCACGGTGATGGCTGGACTTGTTTAATAGACCTACAGCTTCCACTCCAGCCTCAGTCCAAATACACTAAATAATTAACTTCCACCACGGTCCTTTGTGCGTCTTATCTCTGCATCACCCAAAACAGCTGGTGGCATTTCCTCGGCATAAATAGAAAGTAGAAAGGTCAATTGGCATTTGTGAAATATATCTATTTTTTACAAAGCAGCAAGCTAGCAGGGTCCCTTTATTTCCCCATACCTGTGACTGTTTCATAACAAGCACTTTCCTACTTCCCCAATTCCTCAGCCAGGCTCCACTCATCGCCTTGCGGTTGGTTAGCGATTAACACCCACACTGCTGTGTGTGTTACGTGCTGTAGGGTTGGCTCCGACGCCTGGCGACCCTGTGAGTGAGTGACGTCCACAATGTCCTGTCCTCAGCGGCCCTGCTCAGCTCCTGCAGACTCACGCCTGTGGCTTCTTTGGTGGAGTCCATCCATCTCATAGTTCATCTTCCTCTTTCTGCTGTTCTCTATTTCTCCCAGCATTATTATTTTTTCCAAAGAACCCTGCCTTCTCATGATGTGCCTGAAGGAAAATAACTTTGGTTTTTGTCATCTTTACCCCAGCGATGTTTCAGGCTTACTTTGCTCCAGGGCCCCCCGCTCATCCATCTCTGGGGCGCCCAGGGTACCCAGGGAGCTCTCCTCCCACAGCGTATTTCAGACGAGAACGTCTCTTTCCCGTCGGCCTTCTTCATGGTCCGGCTTTGGCCTCCGTCCATAGTTATTGGTAATACGAGCGTGTGCATGGCCTCAGCCTTGGCCTCTAGTCTTTGCTCGTGCTGATCTTTCCCAATTCAGCAGAATTCAATGAATCTCCTAATTCAATGTAAGGAGATAGACTAGAACAAGGGGAGAAACCAGAGACCTCTACGAAAAGGCTGAAGCAATAAAAGGGGCATTCACACCTAGGCTAGGACTGCGAGGGACCAACAAGGAAGCACATTATCAACTGGGAGGGAGTGACAGGAAGGTGGAAACAGCCTGCTCAGAATCTGCACAGAGAAGGCGAACGATGCCAGGCCTTTGAAGACCCAGAAGGAAGAGCCTGCAATCTAGAAGGCGAAGGAAAGCCGCCCTGAGAGTATTGGGAAGAAATAAATCTCCAGGGGTGGGTGGGAAACGACAGAATTATTTCAGCCCACGCTGGAGTCGACATCGCCACGGAGTAGGCCCGAGGGAGAAAGCTCTGTCCCCCGGAGCACGGGAGAGGTGTCTTCCCGGAGTCTTCTCAAACCTTGTGCCGCGGCTCCCGTGGGCCAAGGGAAAGGAGAACAGGGCCGGGTTTCTTTGCCAAGGCGTGGAGCTGTGAGCCAAAGCGGGGTTTCTTCTCAGCTCGCCTTTCTTTTAAGCCTCATCTGACGGCGGACAGCACAAATCCCAGGAGGACCCGTTGTTTGCAACCTGCACCTGTCTCCTAGACGTTGCAGGGGTCGGAATATGCCAAAACGCGACACTCTAGCCTAAGGTTTATTTTGAGCTGAAAGCAAATAAGAAAAGCAGATGTTGGAAGAGCTCTCAGCCTTCCCCCTCTCTACTTAAAAGCATAAATTTCCCAAGAGAAAAGTGCCCTCCCTGGACCAGGGAGAGAACATTCTCATCATGGAGACGAGGTATCAGTGCTGAGATAGATTTGCACAAACAAACCTATTAAAATAACCCTTCTTTTCCATTAGCCTCCCCCATATATTTCTGAGCCACTTTCCCACAATTCCATTTCCTTAGGAGTTCAAATGCCTTTTCTTTGTCTCGTCATTTCTCCACAGATTTATTTTTCTCTTGTCAATATAAGCTCTCAGGCTTCACCACTTCCTTGGGGTTTTCACTTCTTTCTAGAAAGCCCCCTACGCCATATGAAAATATTAATGTTAAATAAGATCTGTATGTGTTTTCTCCTGTTAATCTGTCTTTTGTAAGTTTAATTTGTAGGCCTCAGCCACAGAACCTAAGAGGGTAGAGGAAGTCTTTTCGCCCCTATAATATGTTCTTAAACCCAGGGCATTGTTCCCTGAACAGTATCTTTAAATGTGTATATGTTCCCAGTTGAAAACCCACAATCATAGTGGTTAAAAGCATGGGTCCTGGAATCAGACCGACCTGGGGTGCAATCCCAGCTCACCTTCTCGTAGCTGTGTGACTAAGCAGGTTACCTAACTTGAGCATCCTGTAAAACGGGGTAATCTTTCCCTCCCTCCCTCCCTCTCTTCTTGGTGAAAAGATCCAATAGGTCTTTATAGTAGTGAGCACAGTACTGGTATATAATAGGCTCCTAATAAGCCAAATGCTACCTGTTCTAAGTAACAATTATCATTAGATGGCTGCGTTACATTCAACAAGATACTTCTAAAGAAAAGCTAAAATAGGTGATTTATTTTAATGGAAAATCTATTTATTAAGAATAAATCACAAGAGAGAATACTTATTAGATTCTTTACCCAGGTCCTTATACACAGGCACTTCTTGCTCCTCAGTTATGGAAGGACAAAAATGGACCCAAAACAGGTCACCTGAGACAGGTGCGTCCAACTCCTGGGCAGCGGCTCAGTGTGTCAGAGGCCAGTGTCCAACAACCTTCAAGGGCAGGCTGGCCATAGTCCATAGAGACCAAGGCGGAGGCACCAGGTTGTCCTCTTAGTGGAAATGCTGGGGGGGGGGGTCCAACCCCAGGGGAAGCCCTGAGGACACGCTTGCAGGAATGCTTTCCAGGAAGCCAACCTTGATCCATATGTTTATCTGGAGTCTAGACCAAACAGCACTGACTGGCCCAGGACTCCGAGTACAGGCGGACATGTCTATCTGCTGCTCTCTACCTCCCTTCTGCTAAGGAATTAAAAGCAAAGATGGGAGCTCCAGCTATGTACCCATCTCCCACGAGACAGTCCTGCTCAGGTGTTGAACGGATTTTCACAGAAATTGGTCCCCTTGAATTTGCTTGCTTCTGACAGTTGCTTATGATGGTTCTGAAGTGTGGGCCCTTCTCCCACTGTGAGCAGCAACTGCTCCTCAAAGTAGAGGAGCTGGTCGACTTCAAAACAGTCACTGACACGAGGCACCACCTTTTCTAGAGTCGCCCTGACCTCCGCTTCGCCAGCTTTCTGCCGCCTGGCTCTCTTGAGGTAAGTATAGACCTCCTCGAATACTTCTGCTCCCAGCTTCTGCATGGCCGACCTGCCAGGCAAAGGAGGAAAGATTCAGGGGAGTTACCCATTGAGATCACCTGCAAGAAATGTATTTTTAAATTATTGATTAACAAATCACATTGCAGCCCTGGGATTCAGAAAAAAGTGGAAAAAAATAACATGTGAGGTCTGTAGCTGGAACATTCCACAATATTCAGCAAATATTTCCTGAGTGTTTGGTATGTGCCGGGGGCCCTTCTAGGCTCTGAGATACAGCATTAAACAAGTGGGGCCAACTGCCTACCTTCATGGAGCTCGCCTTCCAGAGTAGAGACTAAACAGATGAATTAAAGATATATTCATAATAAAAGGGCAGGCACTGCATGCTGAGTGCCATGTAAAGCAGGGTGAGGGGTGGGGGACCGTGAGGGGCAGGGTGATCCTCTCTGACCAGGTGTCCTCTGAGCAGACACCACAGGAGGTGAGGCCAGCGGTAGGGGGAGAGAGACCTGGGCCTGAGGTTCAAACATGTCAGAGAAACAAGGAGAAAGCTGGTGTGGCTGGAGTCGGGAAAGGGGGGAGAAGAATGGTGGGATATGGAATCAGAGGAATAATAACACTGAGAATAAATAATGAGAGGGAAACACTGTCCTATTAACTTTAGGCACCTTTCTATGCACTGAACCTTGACAACAGCTCTGGGAGGGCTGTTGTTTGTTTTTAAACCCTTATTTTACAGAAGAAGAAACTGAGGCCTAAGGGGGTAAGGTGATCTGATCGAGTTCCCCCCAAGGCCGGCATTCATTTCTCTGTACTTGCCTCCAGCCCTTGCCCGCCCGTGGCCACAGCTGTGCACTGTTGCAGCCACACTGCCATGCTCAGTGCGTTTATTTTGCGTCTATTTTCCTCTGTCTCTAGCTAGGGTCACAAACTAAGGGCCTATGGGAAACACTTGGCCCATGACATGTTGCGTTTGATCAACATCAAGCTTTCTTTTCTTCTGGTTTATTGTTATTTTTGAGCATTTTAATGTAAAAGTCTCTGGGTAGGGCCTGCACTCCGCCCGCTCCATTGTTTCACTGCCCTTTGCTCACCTCCCTTTTTCGTTATTATCTTAAACGAGGCTGCTTCTCATATTTCCTCCGCCTGCCTGACTCAAGGGCATTTGAGTTTTATGAATTTTGGAATACAGTTCCAAATTTATGTGCCAACACTGACCTCATCTTTCCCCCACCGAACATTTAGCTTTGTCCCTGTGGCACCGTGTGACCGTCTTCAGAAACAGCTTTTTCATTTTGGGGAGTATAATCTGGCCTCCTTTCTAAGAGTGGGGCTAATTACGTGTGCTCACTGTGAAAATTCATGTTTGCACTTATGATTTCTGCGCTTTTCTGTATATATGTTGAGCTTGATTAAAACATAAAAAATTGTGTGAGAATGAAATTATTAGGTCAAAAGGGTATAAGTATTTGTATGACTTTAACCTTGGGGGAAAAATGCTTCTCTATTCTTCATTTCAATGGATTTGGTGAAAAGAAAGATTAGGTTTTTTAGGGTTTGGGGTTGTTTTATTTTTAGCATTACTGCTAGGCAGTAATGATGGTAATGTTGACAATAATACTGCAGCACTAATATATATATATTTTAAATATATCTTATATTGATTTCAGAGAGAGGAAGGGAGAGGGAAAGAAAGAGATAAATAGAAACATCAATGATGAGAGAGTCATTGATCGGCTGCCTCCTGTATGTCCCCGACTGGGGATTGAGCCCAAAACCCCGGCATGTGCCCTGACCGGGAATCGAACTGCGATCTCCTGGATCCTAGGTCAATGCTCAACCACTGAGCCACGCACGCTGGGCTCTCATACATTTTATAAACTTTCATTGTGCAGTACTATTCAACCTTGTAATTTCTAGAACACAGGATCTAAGGTATTGTGGCAAATAAAAAGAAAAGTAACTGATCCTGCTGTCGTTTAGAGGCTAGAAATTATAATGCAAGCTATATACATTTTAAACTTTAACATTTTTATAGGACTTTAGAGTTTGCAAAATGCTTTTATGTTCATTATCTCAAATGGTCCTGGAGAACTAGGCAATTCATTGAACATTTATCTTAATTTTACAGATAAGTAGGTTGACTTTTAAAAACTCACACAGCTAGTTGGTGATGAAGCTTAAACTGAAACACAAGGAATTGGAACTTGGAGCGCTGGAGAGGCCGCAGCCCCCGGGCCCCACACCATCCAGCTTGAATGGGGTTCCCACCTTCTGCCAAGCGATTGTGCCAGGAGGCCTCACATTCCCAGTCATCTCAGTGACACTGCCTTAACTATCTGCACAGCCCTTATAACTCTGGTATTTTCCTTCTTCTTTTTTTGTGGATGTTTGTTTGTCTCTCCCACTCCCCTAATAAGCATACAAGTTCCATGAGGAAGGGGCCCGGTGACTAGAACAGGACCAGGCATGCAGAAGGTGCTCGGGAAATATTTACAGAACAAAGGGATGACCAGCACAGCCAAGAAGTATCGTGAGAAAAACATGAAGTGCTGTGCAAGCTCAGGGTGGGAAAGTCCGAGAATGCCCTCTGGAGGGGTAGGAGGCACCACAGAATTTGGGCCATAGCGGCTGGAGGACAGCCTGGAGGCGGCAGCAGGGGGGGCACTGGGAGGCCAGGGAGCCCGTCCAGCAGGCGAGTGAGGCCATGAAGCGGGAAGAGCCAGATGAACGGCACACTAAAGAAGCCTTAGGACCCGACCAGTGCTATCGGCTGGTGACAGAGAAGCCCAGCACGTCCCTAAAGCCACAATAACTGAGAGTTTCTGAGCTTTCTCTAAGTGCCAGACTCCACTTTGGACATTTCATATCATCCCATTAAATCCTCCTAACTACCCTATGAATAGATATTGTTACTCCTATATTACAGATGAGAAAACTGAGCTATAAGAGCGTATTAAGTAACTTGCCCAAATCGCTATGCTGTATACCTGAAACAAACATATTATTGAATGTCACCTGTAATTGAAAAAAATAAAAATTTAAATTAAAAAAAATGAAAGAAAACTTTTTAAAAATCATAACTGCCATCATCTGACGATATTTTTTTCAAATAAACAAACTGGAAAATTAGCATAAAAAAGAAGAGTTGTTAAGATAGTAGATCCTAAGATTTCGCATCGCAAGGAGAATTGCTTTTCTTTTCATTGTATCTATATTGAGATGATGGATGTTCACTAACCCTACTGTGATACTCATTTCACAATATATGTAAATCAAACCATCATGCTGTATACCTTAAACTTATACAGTGATGTATAGCAAATATATCCCAATAAAACTAGAAAATCAAAAAACAAAAAATAAAAAAATAACTTGCTCATTGCCACATAGTTTTTAAATGGTGGCGCCAGGATATGGATTCCAGCAGTTTCAGGCCAAGGTGCATTCTTTTCACCATGATGGATTCAGAGAGACCCACATTGAGTCTTGACTCAACCTTTCACTGGCTGTGTGATCTTGGGTCAACTATTTAACCTCTCTGAGCCTTAAATTTTCATACTGAAGTGGAGATTACACACACACACACACACACACACACACACACACCTCAGCAGAGTACCTGTCACCTACCAGGCACTTAAGTAAAACTTAATAGCCTCTGTTTTACTATCACGCGTATTACTGTTGCTTCCCACTGGTGAATTGCACAGTTATCCTATTTTGGTTTAACTGGAAGCATCAAGCAATTTTTTAGTTCTATCTCTGGATAAGAAACTGTTTTAAATATTTTTATCTTTTCTGGCTGAATTTAGAAAACAAATGACACAGGAAGGCCAGCGGCACAGTGGGAGTAAAACAAAAAAAGTCATTTTGTAGAAATAATTATGAAAATCTAGTTTAGCAGAAAGCATTAAGAGAACACATAGATTAGTCTTCAGGCACAGTTTAAAAAAACCTTGAAAATGATTTTATCGAATATGAGAAATCCCTGCACATCAAATATGCACGAGCCACTGCAGGAATAGAATAGCGCACTGTATTTTCCCTTAATTCGGCTGTCTTAACGATCATTTGGTGCTAACAGGCAACAGGGATCTTTACTAAGGGAGGAATCTCTACCCCTTCTCTCTGTGCCCAGTATTTCAAACGGCTGCCTGTGAACCTGCTGGGCAAAGACAGAACAGATCTTTCTACAGAACTGCACTATCTACAGATCTCTGTGGGTGCTGGAGCAACATGGGACAGCCCCAGATGGGACCTGTGACTGTCGGGCCCCTTTCTGTACATGGTGCTGGCCTCTGCTCTGTCCACCCGGGCAGCAGAATCCTGAGTTTTACCGATGTTGGGAACCCTGTTAAAGCTAACCATTCCTGAAAGGGTTATTTTGTTCTTGACCTAAAAGCCCTCCATTGTTCACAGTCAGTAAATGTAGATTAAATAAACTCACTGATTAAAAACAAAAGCCAGCTAGATACTGTTTACAAGAGACACGCCTAAAACACTGGGCACTGAATGGTTGAGAGTAAAGAAACAAACAAAAGATGTGCCAGACAAACAGTAAACAAATCTGGGGGTAGCTATATTGATATGAGACAAAATAGATAAGAAAAGAANGAAGATGTGCCAGACAAACAATAAACAAAAGAAATCTGGGGGTAGCTATATTGATATGAGACAAAATAGATAAGAAAAGAAGTGTTATTAGGATAAAGAATGCCACTAGAATAATAAAAACAGTTCAAGTCACCAGGAAGAAATAAAAATTCAAAACTAACATGCATCTAATAAAGTACAATCAAAACAAATAAAGGACTAGAGGGAGAAATTGTCAGGTGTGTCCTCATACTGTAGGATTTCAATACTTGCTCTGCTGTGGGTAGATGAATATCTGAAAAATTAGTAGTAATATAGAAAATCTGAATACACTTAAAAAGCTAAACTTAATAGACATATACAGGAGCCTCTCCGTCCCTGGTGATCAGAGGACCCACATTCTCTCGTAACATTTACAAAAACTGACCACATACCAGACATCCATTCAAGTCT